TTATTAAATTAAATACAATAATATTTTTAGGTAAGTACCATTGTTGCAGAGTAAAAAAGACATCAAGTGCCACCCCCCCCAAAAGGCAAAAAAAAAATAAAACTCAAGACAAATATTATTATTTTGTATTACTTGAATTACTTTTATGGTAAGACATAAAGTCCTCAAAGAAAACTGCATATTGGATGTGGCCTATGAGGATATCTAGAATCAGAGTGTCAGAGCACAGTGATAACAGCTCTACGGTGTTCCTCTTTCCACCCATGTGATAATCCTGGCATTTAGAAAAAGTGCTAATGAAAAGGTTGTAGACATCTTCTCTTAAGCCAACAGGGTTTGGCCTCAAAGTCACTACACTATGACCAATTGTTCTGTAAATGTGAAGAAATGAACATGTGTAGTAAGGTTTTAAATATTATCAGTTTCGGGATTGGTTATAATCAGTTTTGGATGTACAGGAGAGGGTGGCCAGACTGTTCTCCTAGATGACCAGGGGCTGCTTCCCTCAGGAGTTAAGAGCTGAGATTCTCCCCAGGCAGCATTGCCCATTCAATACCAGCCCTGTGGGAACCCTGGCTCACAATGGGTAACGGAACCCTCATCCTCCTGAATGTGGTCACAGCCCACAGTCCAACCACAAGGGCTCCTCCCAGGCTCTTCTTTGGGGAGAAAGACCTTGCCATCATTACTCCGCTCTTCTGTGTTCAACCTTCTACTACAGACGCCATCCTTGGTGAGCAAAGGAGACCCAGCTGTTGCTTAAAGTTTACAGCTTTCATGGATTTTTAAGTAACAGATCGAGGGAGATTGCTAAAGCAAAGCCATCGTGCACAGGCCTGATACGGAGGTCCAGGAGCCCCTTCAATATTTAATGCAACCAAAGCCTCTGGCAGCTAATCACCTCTTAATGGGGGCTTGTCCTCTGGCCAGCTTGTTCTGAGGGAGTCAAATTTCTGGCTTCCAAACAAGTTATCATTCACTTGCTGAGTAAATACCACAAGCTGAAAGTAGCCCCCCCAGGTACCATTGGTCTTTCTAGGTCAAATCTAGAAGGTCCCAGGTCAACAGAGCTTGTCTTTGAACACCTGTGGGTTCAGAGCGAGCTAGACACTGGTGTTGGTCTGTGTTTAAGCTTCCTGTGAGCCCTCCACTAAACACAGGTTTACGAGGGAACTGAGTTGCAGGGGTGAGGGTGGCTGGGTAAGGAAAGAAGAGACAGGCCGGGGAGACAAGTACATTGGTGGCTCACTGGCTTCACGCCAAAGAGACTTAGGGGAGATGCAAGCATCAAGATTAGTTCCAGACTGACTTCCAGGGCATTCCTGAGAATGCTGGCTACAGGGAGAAGGGAGTAGATGTGACCAAAGAGGACTTTACATAGAACATGTGGTGCACCATCAGGAAACCAGCCAGAAAGTGGCTCTGGGCCAGCAGGCCAGCGTCTTCTCCGGAGAGTGGCCGTCAGGTGTTTTGGGATAATTGATGGAAATTCTTTGCAGAGTACTGTCTGGGGATGGGTGATTAGCAATGCTAACTGGTGGAGTGGAATCACAGAACTGTAGCCTGTTGCACTGGGAGTAACCAAGGGCTATCCTGATCCTCTACACCCAACCAGTCAGAACAGTAGGAACTAGCCGGGGTTGGTGGTTAATATATCAGGAACTAGAAATAGCTTCTAAACCACAGGTTCCAGGTAGCATCCCTGCTCAAGAGATTTCTGTCTTTCCATCTGCCCCATCACTTGGCACAGTGGAGGACACTCAGTCTGCCCCAACCTGCCTCTTAGAACACATCCAGCCCCATGGGCCAGTGGGCAACCAGAGGAAGAAATTCAGATTCCCAGCGTCATCCTCAGGGATCACATCCAATCTCACAAATGCTTAAGCAAGGATGTGAGCCAAGCAGTACAGTACAGAACAAAGGTCTCCTTGTACTCCGCTGTGAGTAGACTGTAGTTCTGTTTGGCCTGAAAGCCGCCGAGTGCACACAACAAAAATATGACAGTAATTTGCTACCACTGTGACTGTTTCTTTAGTGGGTCTATTCTTGTGACATGCCTCAAAATCCGGAGGAAAGAGCCCCACAGGGCTGTGCAGGGTTGTTCTAAATGGGCTCAGGACACTCTTGGACCCTGCCTGAACTCTTCCTTGATTTCCCCACCACTCATACATTTGAAAAGAGAAGAAAGAACGCATTCTTTACGAGATATATGGGTGAAATCCCCCCAAGAGATCCTGGAAAGAAATAAAGTAAAAAAAAAAAAAAGGGGGGGGGGAGGGGACCTGGCCCAAAGAGCTCAAGCAGAAAATAAATAATCTGATTGGGAAACATGCAAATCAAGACATAAGTGTCAGGACACAAGAGCTAGCAAATGGAGACAGAGCCTTTGGTCTGCTTGGGGCCATAATCAGTGTGTCTGTGCGGTCACTGCCAGCTACGAAATATGGGAGCCCCGTGTGCTGATTCTTCCCCTAATGGGAACAAAACACCTGATGCCCAATTGAAGAAATGGAGCAATACATCAGAGGAGGGGCCAACCATTGGAAGCACTTATGCGTTAAGATTGTGAAGCGATTTGACAAATATGTACCTGAGTATTGACCTCAGTCGGTACTCAAGCACAAAGGAAAGCCCAGAGTCTTGAGAGATGAGCCCACTCCAAAGTGTACAGACTTCTGGTTCGAGAGGAGGCTTTTCTCCCACAAATATATGTCCCTATGCATTAGTAACCAGAAAAGCTAGATCTGTTCTTATTTGTTGAACTCCTCAGATGCTTAACACAGCTCTGAGGTTTGAAACTTCAGGAAGCACCAAGCTGCAGGTTGGTGACGTGACCTGACAACTTAGTGCCAGTGTTTCTTTTTAGGGGCCGGTAGGCAAAACCTGACACTTCGGTTCCCACCTCAACACGCGTTGATCACAAACTGGATTATAACTTTAGTATTCCCACAAAGCAAATGACTGTGTCTTTCCCACTAAAATCTCCATCCTAGTCCCAGGCTTTGCTCTACCACCCAGCTGTGCACCAGGATTTCTGAGAAACTCAGGGTGGTGTACTCATAAAAGGCTCCTAAAGACAGACCTGCAGAGGAAGGAGTCAGCTCCCTTCCCAGGACAGGGGCCTCTCTCCAACCGCAATGACAGAAACATTAGCAGACACTCGGCCTTCGTGTTCAGAATTCTCCCCTTCAGACACCTTAACACTATGACTTGGAACAACCAGAAGATAAAGCCAGTCTTTACTGTGACATGTCACTTTGTAAGTCTCACTTTAACCCCTGAAGATCTGTTTCTTTGTAACTAGGGCAGGAACACACACAATAGAGCTAGCTATATTCTTGCCACCTGCTACAATATTACTAATAGGGTAGGAATGCTTTTTTAGGGAAAAGGAGAGGAATGAGATCTGGAAGAGTTCACCTTCGATTCTGTCCCTTCCTTGTTTGTGTGTTACCCTCAAGCAGAACTGTGCTCTGTTTAGGGCCTTAGTAGGTCTCCAGTAAATGTGTGCTGTGTGACACAAAGGGCCAGTGGGGTAGATAGACCTAAAACTTGTCTGCCGCCTAGGTCAAGGTATCCTCGGGGGCGATTCCTAACTGGTGATGCAATCTTGTCATCTACAGCTTCCGGAAGCACTGTGTATGTTCATGAAATTAGATGGAGGAGTGGGCGGATGTTTGTGAACCGTGGAAACCTTGATGTTCTCAGAGAACATCAAGGAGGCCGGAGTACCACATGATAGGGAAGATGTTGTGGAAAACACATGTGCCAGTGTTCTCAGACCTTTATAGAATACGGGCAGAAGGGAAGTGTAGCCGGCTTGGGAATCGTCGGGACCAGTCTCTGCCTGTCCACAGAACAGCCTTCACTTTGCCGTGATAAAAGCCGCCAGGTCCTGGGTCATCATTTACCCCCGGGTCATGGGTCCTGCTGAGAATTGGGAAATGTTGGGCGCCTTGTGCATTTCAGCGGCTTCTCTTTGTCAGTGTCCTGAGCGTGGAGGTGAAGTGTCAATCAGACCAGCATTCACGCAGACTGACCGTATCAAGCATGCAGTGTATTTCCTCTTGGTTGGTCAGGGTCTGTGCCACTTTGGTTGTGGTCCTAGGAGGGAATGTCACCACCACTTTCAGACACATGACCAGGTACATTTCCTTTATGTAAAAAGTCATAAATTGTTATTGAGAATGATAACTGTCCAGAGATTCCGTGTGGTGTTCATGCTGAGCCGTGGGTCTGCAGTGTCACTCAGATCTAACTCAGGCCATTGTGTGTCAGTGTGTCCTATGGCCTCGGTAGTACCAGGGGATTGTGAGGATTCGAAATGAGGACCCTCAGGTCATGTGACTCCTGCACAGGTCATGTGACTACTTCACAGGAATCAGTCAGCCTGATGGGTGACAAGCCTGAAATGGCATCCTTTCCTGCATGACATGGGAAACCCTACCCATCTCCCACGTCAATCAAGTCTCTGGATGGACTGAAACAATTGCCAGGTGATGCCACAGCTAGTGTTTTCACTAAAATGGGCATCTCTCTTTAAAATATATGTATTCGTTGTGCTTAATAAGCTACATAGCATCACCCTATTGTAGAGGAGAACCTAAAACTTTTGAGTCCAAAAACATAGTTCATGAATCCTGGTTACTTGTCAGTAAATGAGAATAATAACTCCCATCTTAGGTAGCACTAGGCTGGGATGCAGAGCCCATTGCTTGTTTCCTTAATCAAAATAACCACGTGTATTAATAGACAGGTCAGTACCTCCAACACAAAGTACATGAAGGCTTTTGTAAATCCAAATGGATACAGGATTAATGTTCTCTAGTCTGGCTTTGAGGACAGATGAAATGCAAATAATATTTGAAACATTGTTACCACCAACCTCAGCCCCTTGAGGCTGTTACCTGAGATAATGGAGAAAGTACCATCTCCCCGCCAGCCATCTTCCACCCTGGTTACAGATGACTGACGCTCCTTGTTGATGCCTTTCCTGCCAGGTCGGTGGCCACACGATGCTGCCTATCCGCTGGATGCCTCCAGAGAGCATCATGTACAGGAAATTTACCACTGAGAGTGATGTCTGGAGCCTGGGAGTCGTGTTGTGGGAGATCTTCACCTACGGCAAGCAGCCCTGGTATCAGCTATCAAACAATGAGGTGTGCAAGGGTTTGGGAGGGACTATCCCCAACACACACACACACACACACACACACACACACACACACACACACACACACCGCTGTCACCACCAGAGCTGAGATCTAAGATGCAGCCTTGGTCTGAGGGCTCTTGAGCTGCAAACCAGGGCAGTCATAAGCTGCTTTGCTTGAGTCCGCAGATTCATCTTAATAATTTTGGAGAAAGGAAGGTTTGATGACCCAACCTTGCTCCCTTGATGACAGGGCTCAGCAATGACGTTGCATGACTCAACTAACAAATTAAGAACAGCCTTAGCTATCCATGGCCCCTGGGTGTGGCCAGCGTCCCTACACTGCTCCAGAGAAGTTGCAAGACCCTTTCCTTTTTTTCAGATTTTACTAGAACATTAACTACTAGTGGAAAGTTCAAGTATTGGTTTGCCTCTTCCAATTCCTTTGAGAAATATAGTTACCTGTTGGAATACATGGGGATTGGTTTCAAGAACCCCCTGGAGACCAAACTTTAGAACACCCCAAATGTAGTATCCGGAAGGGGCCTGGGCTTCTCCAGGGTCACTTCGAGCTTAATTACAGTGACAGTACACACAAACACAGTGCGAACGGTGATGTGTTTGGTGAATGATGACAAGAAAACAGTGTCTGCACATGCTCAGTGCATATGTCATTTTTCCCGTTGTATTTTCAATCTGCCATTTTCTGGGTACACAGCTGCAGCTCACGGTACAACCAGGCAGCAGCGTGTCTGTGTTTGAGACACAGCATCTTGCTCAGCATCCCCTGCCCCTCTCAGATCCATGCCTGCCTTTTAATTCGGCTCTGATAGGCAGTTATCCTAATCACATCTGTTGCCAGGGCCTCCCTGTCAGTCAACACCTTACACAAAGGTAATTTGGGTTCTGTCTCTAGCCGGGGAAACCTGGAACACACAGGGCTTTCTATGTGAACTTTGGATCACCCTCTGTGAATAAATCAGGCCTTTACCAGTTTTGTAAAGACCAGAGTGGCTCTCCCCCTTGTGAGAAAGCAGTAAGAGAGGTTCCTTTGATGCTAAGGCAAGAGGGCCATGAGTTCAAAGCCGGCCTGGGATACACAGCAAGACCACGCCTAAAACAAAAACCCATCGCTCTCACGGCAATCCGCAAGGGAAGGCTTGGTGAAGGGGTAGAAGAAAATTGAGTGTTAGTACCGCCATGCAGCTGCACAGGGAAACTAATTCTAGACCCCTGCAACGCTGTACTGTGATTGTAGGTTGTGAGTTTACCATAGCTTCAATGAACAATTACAAAAGAAACATTTTCAAAGAACAAACTGATCACTGATTGGCAGCCCCTCGTTAGGGACTGGGATAGCCACAAGGCAGCCCCTTATAATAAACATAGGGTTTAGGAAAAGTTAGGAGGGAAGAGGTTGACGTTTCCCAGCACAAAGACATGGTAAATGGTTAATACAGGGGGTGCTAGTTGCCCGGATGTAGTCAGCACATGCTATTACTTGCATAAATGCATGTCTCAAGTGCTGGCCTCCAGAAATAAGCACAATGGTTTGACTTTTTGAGCAGTTAAAGAAAGAGGAGGCCCTTCCTTGCTCCTCCTGCACCCATGTCCCACACCCACGGCTTTTCTCCTGCTAACCCTGCCTCTGGTCTCCCTCCAGGTGATAGAATGCATCACCCAGGGCCGAGTCCTGCAGCGGCCTCGCACGTGCCCCCAGGAGGTGTACGAGCTGATGCTGGGGTGCTGGCAACGGGAGCCACACATGAGGAAGAACATCAAGGGCATCCACACGCTCCTCCAGAACTTGGCCAAGGCATCTCCTGTCTACCTGGATGTCCTAGGCTAGGCCCTGCTCCCCAGACCCGCCCTGCCCAACACACTCCTCAGACTGGCCGGCACGACCAACCTCTTAACTGCCGCTGGGTGTCACGACCTTGCTGTCCTTCGCTCTGACAGTGTTAACGAGACAGGGAGCGGCTTCGGAGGGAAGAGCGTGTACTTCTCCATCCACAGACAGTGTTAACTCGCTTTAGGCATTGTCTTTCTCTCCCCCATCTCTTTGGGTTGTTTCTTTCTCTCTCCTTTCACTTTTGTTCTCCCTTGCTTTGTGGTCCTCGGCCGCTCTCCTTGATCAATCTGGCTTCTGTATCCCTATTAACTGTACATAGACAAAGGCCTTAAAAAACCTAATTTGTTATATCAGCAGACACTCCAGTTTGCCCACCACAACTAGCAATGCCTTGTTGTATTCCTGCCTTTGATGTGGATGAAAAAAGGGAAATCAAACATCTGACCTAAACCGCCATTTCCAATGTACAGACATGGGGCATTTCTATGGATTCACTTTTGTTTATCTGTCTATCTATCTGTCTATCTATCTATCTATCTATCTGTCTATCTATCTATCTATCTATCTGTCTATCTATCTATCTGTCTATCTATCTATCTATCTGTCTATCTATCTATCTATCTATCTGTCTATCTATCTATCTATCTATCTGTCTATCTATCTATCTATCTGTCTGTCTATCTATCTATCTATCTGTCTGTCTGTCTATCTATCTATCTATCATCTATCTATTATTCATTTATCTATTATTGCTCTTCTTGTTTTCTGATGGCTTTAGCGTGTGTACGAGAAGGAAAAGTTGTATACAATCTAGGAAAATTTTATCTGTGGGAGATGAAAACCAGAAAGAAAGAAAGGTGTTACTGTTAACCACGGCGTGATCGGAACAGAGACAACCAATGGGATCGTCTGGGGTCAGCCCCTGTTTAGGAAAACCCAGCACCTGTTGGCTGGGAGGATCATGTTTAGCACCGTCCCACCAAGGACCTTCCTGAGGAGGAAAGAGGATGCTGAATTCTGCATTGTGGGCAGACATTGTTTCCAGTCACAAACACTGGCCAGCAGTGGACAGAAAAGCTGGCTTCGGTGGGACCCAGACGGCGCATCGTGCATCCATGCAGTGCATTGTGGGCAGGCACGGTGACAGAGCTGATATGTTCCTCAAGTGTTTCCTACCAAGCTTTTGTCAAATTCCGTTGAAAAGAGGTAGATTCTTGCTCGGATATTACTTCAGGGTCAGATGGGAGAATCTGAGTCCTTGGTAAGGGCAGGAGACACTCTCAATTCCGAGGCACGTTTCTCTTACCTTGAACTTTTCAGACAGCAGTTCCCTCTAGCCCCAGCCCCCAACTCTTGCCCGTCCCTTAACTGTGCAGAGCAAACGTGCATGGCCTATGTGTAGGGGCTGCTGTGCCAGCTCTGGTGCCCGAGACGTAGGGCAGACCCACAAAAGGTCTAATTTATGCAACTTAGGGAGGGTAACCAGATCAGTAGCCGAGAACACTCTACAGTTGGTGGCGATGGGCTTACTGAATAGGCACGCTGACGCCTCGGTGTCTTCATCCACCTCAAACCCACAGAAGTGTGCGACAGGCAGAGTCCGACCCTGATGGGAAGGAAAACTCCCTTGGGGACAGCACATGAGTTCACATTCAGTGTGTCCGGGTCAAGTCTCTTGCTCTGGACTCTGTTTGGGAGAGTGGTTTCATCCTACGCCCTCATTGTTAGCACGCTGTTTTGTTATCTATACTCCATTAAAAAGAAAAAGAAGAAGAAGAAGAAGACGAAGGGAAGAAAAACGTTAAAACTTGGCCCTGTGTGGCTGAGTCTGGAGATATGCTTCTGGGTGTGATCACTGGTTTTACTAAAAGTAAATTTAAGTAGAAATTTACAGTTACTAGGGCAGTCAGTCAGACTGAGGGAGAAAAGCATTTCCGTTTCTCTGTCCCCCTCTGTGAGGGGAAGTTTGACAAACTTGACATCTTCATACCACGAGCCAGATTGGAAGGGAGCGACTTAATTCACCTTAGCACATTTTATTTGGTATTTATTTCTGAAGGTGGAAGAGCTCTGGGTAGGTTTCATTTGTGCCCGTTAATTTCTGGAGCACTGTGTTTTCTAGTATAGACTTTGAAAGCCGGTTTTCAAAATAAAGAATAAAAGTAAATTAAAAAAAAAAACTCAGAGTAAAGGAGCAGAAACAGAAGGAGATCCAACGGGACCCACTCAAGGGAGCGGTCACTAAGGCGGATGCTGTGGTCCTCTCTGTTGTTGCAATGGCCCATGAGACGGGAGTTGTTCTCTTTGTCCATTAAAACAAACCCCTCCAGAACACCTACAATAATACAATGAAAGCCATATCTCTGTGGTATATACAGTCAGGTATGTATCATTCAAAGGGCCCGCGGTACTGTCACAGCACTGTGGAACTCTGAAGCAGGGAAGTGGGGGCAGATTTGTGCGTCCATGCTCTCCTAGAGTCCATCAGCAATGACCTAGCAATGTACACGGGTCGGTTACTCTGAGTCTGACCAGTTGACCTTGGAGAAAAAGCTGCAAGGAGCTTATCGGACGAGATGGCCCTGTCAGAGGTCAATGTCAGGGGGCTGTGCAGGTTTACATCAAAAGTCTAGTATTGGCGATGTGAGAGCATTCTGTTCCAGTTTTGTATTTTCCTTGGAAGAAAAAAAAAAAAAGCAAAAGAGAGAGAGAAATTCCTTACACTTTCTGATGAGTCCCTGAAGGTCTTAAAATGAAGTGTCTATGCAAGTGCAAATTTTATAGTTATTTATACTGATTGTTATTACTATTAATTATTATTATTAGTCCCTCTGTTGCCTCAAGATTATGTGCCGATTTCGGAGCATGACAGAACATCTGATTGCTTTTTAAGTAGTTGGATGAGCCAAGGACATCTTAAAATAGTTGTCGTTATTCATCTGCTGTCCCCTTTCTTGTGGTATCTCAATTTTTAGAAAAGAAACGTTCTTGTTCTAAAACGTGTCCCTCTCCAAATAGGACAAACATGGTGGTAGTGAACCAAAACCTCTACCCGAACCCTGCCTGACGTCCATTCCGTTTCTAATCTCCTTGATGGTTTCTGGGCACTTTTTGCATGTGTGAGCAAATTATTCATATTTTTTTTTCATGAGGGAACAGAGACTCAGAGGCTCAGAGGCCATGCATGGGCTTCACCCAAGTCTGCCCACTAGACATGCTAACATACACGCAAGACATTCCGGAAGGAAAACATGCTACCGCGTGTGTGAGGCAGGAGGGGACACTTAGGAAGAAAGGAATCACATGCAGTCCAAGCTGATGGGATTTCTATCACGCGCCTCTGCTGACTCCCGTACACTGAACCCATGTCACGATCAGCCTCATTTAGGAAGCGCTTCGAACGCTGCTATCAAGGGTTCCATCAGAAATCATTAGCACATGCTCACATCGGTCCCGCTTGGGGTGTATTCATGTACTTTATACATACATATACATACATACATATATACATATATAATATATGTTATAAACACTTGATTTATACATATACAAATGCACATGTGTAGTGTGTTTGTGTGTTCATGTATAAACATGTAGGCACATGGTAATAGAATAATTATAAGTAGGGTGCAATATGAATAATTTGCTTAAAATTTGCTAAATAACCAAAACTCCCCAATGTTGTGTGTGGCGGCGATTCCTGTTTCCATTCTCCGTGTGGGTGAGGACTACACGACTCTGGGCTCTGTGCGGTCCTTGGGTGGAAGATGTGTTGAAAGCCACATGTTTCCTGGAACATCTGACTGAAAGCCATCCCCTACGTTAAGCATGTTCTCCGGCTCCTTGCAGAGGAAAGTCTCCTTACGCCCAAGTCCAGGGAGGGAGAACTGAGTCCTCTCCTTTTGCGCATTCCTGTTGTGCTCACCCTCTCCTGCTCCCGTCCCCTTCTAGATGAGGCTGCAGTGTGGTTGGGAGACCAGTGTCTTGAAGGCCGATGTCAAACAAAGCACCCAGGAATCCACAGCAAGGTGGGCAGCTCGTAGCCACCCCTCACCCACATGGGGAGCCAGGGCCATGGTGTGGAGTGCTGTCTTTCTCAAGGTCTGGACTGCGGGGTCCCTGGCAATACCTGCCGTTAAGTCATGTCTAATTTCTAAAATGGCAGCACAGATACATGCACCCTGTTGCCCTGCTTCTGCGTCCCTTGTCCCCCGTTAGAGGGCTTCTACTTCCAAACTTGACCTTCAGTTTGGCCCGGTATCATGGTTCACGGAAATCTCACGAGAAGAATGGCGAATGACCCAAGTTCCCAGATGTCTAAGCCAGTTCTTCACGATGTATAACTGGAACGTAGAGACTCGGGTCATGGCAGCTTGGACATGGATTTCAAATGCTATTGTAAAGAACTGGAGTGTGAGGGGTTCATAGTTGTCAGGGCTGGACACTGTCGCTGCTGCTAAAGTCAAAGTTTCCGGATTATTCTCAGCTGTGGCATCTTTCTCTTATTTCCCTTTGACTTCATTCATTTATGTTTTTTACTTATTTATAAACCTTTGGTCCATTCATCACAAACACTAAACAAAAACAATTGCGTATATGTAAATGTGTTGCAAGCGAAACACTGTGAATCTCACAACCACCTCCAAGCAACTGTGCAGCAATCTTGATGTGCGTCTCAGGAGATGAGATGGGGAAAAGATGGGGACATCGTTTTGGAGCCTACGCGTTCTGGGCCAGGTCCACGGTTATTTATTTATTTATTTATTTATTTATTTATTTATTTATTTTTCTTTCCCTTTGGTCTGTGAGTTAAGAAAAATGATCCTGAGTTCAGGAGATAGACTGAATGTCCAACCATCCAGGCAAAGTGTCATATGTTGTTTGTCACTGTATGTTTGAGCAGAAAGGAAACACACGGAAGATGGAGAAACGAAACTTGACGTAGAGGTCTCTATCTTACAGCTCGTATTGCTTACTGTTGCTTAAAATGTATACAACAGCTGGAAATATTTTCAATACAAGGTATTTGAGTTAAATGTGAATTTTAAATATGTACTCCTTTAAGGAATGAACATATTATGGTGAAATATCTCTCCCCGCA